AAGGGCGTAAAGGGACAAGTTGATGAAATGCTCCGGGATGACATCATCCAGCCGACTAAAAGTCCATGGCCGTCCCCCGTGGTGTTAGTGAAGAAAAAAGATGAAACCCTGCTGTGTCGATTATTGCCGCCTGAAAAAAATCACAAAAAGGGCGCGTATTCTCTCCCACGAATAGACGACGCACTGAATCGGCTCCATAACGCGAAGTACTTTTCGTCAATGGACCGCAAGTGTGGCTATTGGCATTGAAAAGTCCACGAAAGATACCGAGAGAAGACAGCGTTTATAACACATGTAACGAGGTTTATTGGGCGAACCTAACGTGCAGGTAGAAGATTCAAAGAAGCCACAGGACGAGAAAGATGGTGGTTTTCGAGCGCCGATCTCGTGGTGCCTTTCTCTGCAACGATGCTTCTTGTTCCCTGGTGTTGCCATTATTCCTTCCTAATAACTGCCGCAGTCGAGAAATATGAAGCCATCCTGGCGATCTAACAGGTGGGAACGAGCAGGTTGAAGTACGGCTTCAAGCGGTCCACGTGAACAATATCGTGTCCACGCAGACGATGGTCAACGAGCAGCGTAAGTGGTTCAATAGTGTAGTTGACGGGCAATGTACTCTCTACCACGCGGTATAGACCATGGTAATTTGAAAGTAGATTCGTAGACAAACTAGGTGCACAGGGTGGTACATACAGCCATACAAGGGTTCCAGGGGCGAATTACGTGGCAGGAGGGTGGTCTTCATCGTGGGCCTTTTTCGGGCGTTGCTGGTCGGCCGCACTAAACTGCTTCTCTAGTTGGCGGCATTCTTCGGCGTGACGGGCGGCTTCAGACACGGTCATGCTCTCAGATGCATCGGTGCGTATGGCAGCACAGTTTCAATTCTGTGCGATGGTTGACGTCCGTACAGGAGAAAGAATGGGAAAAGCCGGTGATGACTTGGGTAGCGGTATTGTACGCATAGGTCGCAAACAGAAGAACCAGGTCCCAGTTCGGTTGTTCGGATGCCACATACGTCGCGAGCATGTCACCTACGGTCCGATTAAACCGCTCAGTCAGTTCATTCGTCTGAGGGTGGTAAGCAGTAGTCCTCCGGTGTACAATTGGCACTGGCGGAGAAGTGTTTGAATGACGTCGAATAGAAATACACGACCCCAGACACTGAGGTGCTTGTGAGGAGGGCCATGGCCTAACACAAAACGAAGGAGGATGAAAGCTGCGACGTCCTGAGCGGTCGCCGAAGTAAGAGCAGCGGTTTTGGCGTACCGTGTCAGGTGATCTACAGCAACGATAGCCCACCGGTTACCTGATGTAGTCATTGACTAGTAGTCCATAAAGGTCAATTCCGATGCGATCGAATGGGTGGTCGGGGCACGCATGCGGCTGTAGTGGAGCTGCTCCAGGATGCGATGACTGCTTCCCTTGCTGACCCCTTAGCAGCCGCGAATAGACTGTCGAACAAAGGTAAACATCCTATGCAACTAGTACCGCTTCCGTAAACGTTCGTAGGTCTTCAAGCCACCAGCGTTAGCGCATTGCGGATCGGAATAAAATGATGCACAGATTGTAGAGCGCAGCTTTCAGGGAATAACAAGCAGCCACTTCCTGCCACCTGGTGAGAAATTGCGCCTGTACAAGAGGCCACCTCGAATGGTGAAGTGCGAAGCCTGGCATCGCATCACTCGGGTGCTTAGAAGTGGCGGTACCTCAGATACGAAGAAGTGAAGTTATCCAAAGGTCGTCACGCTGTGCAGAGGACATTCTGTTAAGAGCTGACGGCGCATGTTCTATAAAAGATGTAGAGACAGCTTCAGCGGACAGTGGTGATCGCGAGAGCGCGTCAGTATCGGCATGTTCGCGGCCGGAATGGTACACGACGCGGATGTCATGCTCTTGAACTCGCTGAACCCAACGAGTACGGCGACCTGATGGATCCGTCAGCGACGACAACCAACATAAGGCATGATAGTCTGTAAGTACAGCAAACGTTTGGCCATATAAGTATGGGCTAAACTTGACAATCGCCCAAAGTATGGATGAGCACTCTTTTTCGATAACACTGTAATTTACCTCAGCCTTGTTAAGCGTTCTGCTGGTGTAGGTGACGACATACTCAGGGGATCCAGGCTTGCGTTGAGCGAGAACTGCACCAAGACCGACACCACTGGCGTCTGTATGGATCTTCGGTTGCAGCCGTGGGTTCATATTGGCGCAATATAGGCAGTGATATCAGTAGACGGCGAAGATTGGTAAATGCGGGATCACACTCGAAAGACCATGACGAGATGTAGCTGGCACTGCTTAAAAGTTGAGTCAAAGGAGCTGATTATGGAGGCAAAGTTACGCACAAACTGACGAAAGTAGGAGCATAATCCTACAAAGCTGCGTAACTGTTTTACAGTCGCTGGTTTGGGGAATTCAGTGACAGCGCGTAGTTTAGCCGGGTCGAAAAGAACGCCTTCCTTTGATACCACGTGACCGAGAATGGTGAGCTTCTGAGCAGCAAAGTGACAGTTCTTGAGATTCAGTTGGAGCTGCGCATTATTCAGACACTTGAGGTCATGTTTCAGGTGTACAAGATGTGTTGCAAAATCGGGTGCAAAGACGACGATAATGTCGAGGTAGCAGAGGCATATATTTCATTTCAAACCCCGAATATTCGAGTTCATCATGCAGTCTAATGGGGCCGGCGTATTGCAGAGGCCGAAGAGCATGACATGGAAGACATAAAGCCCGTCCTGTGTCATGAAGGCTGCTTGTGGACAATCGGCATCTGCTAAAGGCACCTGCAAGACCCCAAACACAAATATCATGATATAATGACGAAAAAGCTTGACACCTTGGAACTAATTAAGGGCGTTCTAAATCCTGGGCGTAATCATGAGTTGCAATTCGTCCCCTGAGTTACTCAGCAATGCAATGTCGTCGGCGAAGCGCAGGTTACTAAGGTACCATTTTTGTAAGTTTATAACCAACTTCTAAGGTGGCTGTCAGCTGATCGGGATACTATGAAGGGGGACACGATTTCAGTTGTTTTGTTAGGTTCCTCACTGGGGATAACATGATAGTGGGGAATATTTCTTGAGGACGACTGAAAAGGAAAAAAATTCGTCGGTGCGTACTCGCTTAATAACGGTATGATTGTTAAGTACTAGAAATGCTTGGTGCATGATATCAATAGTCGATTCGGCAGCGGGGGTGGCCACTCACCATGCAGCCCAACATGGGGACGCTACAAGATTCTAGGTACCGAAAACATGAACACGCCAGCCGTGCGCCGCTACTATAGCCAAATGTGCGTAAACCAAGGCTGTTTATTTGCACAGGGTTAACCCAAGCCGCCTAAGAAAAGTGGTAATTGAAGAAAGTAAGCGACAGGACTGCAAGGAAAGAAAGGAAAGTGAAAGGTCGAAGAGGGAAAGAAACAGATCGGAAAAGGCAACCGCCGATTTCCCCTGGGTGGGTCAGTACAGGGGTGCCGCTACGTGAAGCCGAGGCCAAGGAGTGCGTTGCCTTTGCCGGGGGCCTTAAAGGTCCAGTCATCCAGTGTCGGCTGAACCGCCAGGATCCCATTTTCCCCGCGCACGGCTCAGCCACGCATGGCTAGGCGTCGGAGGGAGTCGAAACACCCCGTTAGCTAGGGTCCGTGGTGTCCCTACACACCAAACGCCTGCTTGTGCAGACGCCCCGGTGGGGGCTTGGATTTAACTGCACTGGCAATGTTTTCAGGTGCTTGGTCAGAACTAATTCATCCCAGAGGCTGTCATGCATGATTTTTAAAGGATACTTAGCGTGTGCATGAAAAACTTCTAAATGAATTTAAACAGTCTATGCCTTTATTAAATTATCTTTATTAAAACGTTCTGTACAGAATTTCTGCGTAGGTGCACTTCTGTACTCAGTAGAACGACAGGCCAATGAAATAAGGTGCCTCTGGTCTGAAGACGCCTCCCGACTTTGTCCGCCGTCCCTGACGCAATGCCATGTTTCATCGAAGCCAATGAAACGCAGTGCGTTCAAGATTAGATCGGATCTTTTTGGCTCGTTAAAAGTGTGATCTCAGATGAGCTTGGAAAGACCCCAAGTTTCATCAAGCTGGGGTCATTCTGCATAACACCTCGATTGTTTTTCGCTGGAAATAGTGGAAGGTACATTTACAATATGGTACAAAGAAATAGATGGTTCCAAAAAAATTATGAAGAATTCAAGGAGAATGCTGTTACGCGCCTTTAGTCACTGCCCGCGACTAGTACTGCCGCATTACGCTGGCTATTTACAAGTAAATCAAAAAGTAATGCCGACTCAGAGCCGTTAATGCGACAAACCGAGTTGGAACTCCTCGACATAATAGCAACTAGTCTTGTGTAGCGTGAACTCCGAATATACGGCTCCACCTATGTGCGTGCAGTGAGTGATTTACAGCGTCTCGCTATCACTAGACAATTCATCCTTTCGACCTCTTCAATGTGGCAGTCTACCAGTCGAAGCTGCTCTGTCTCAGTATTCCCCCGTGCTGACATGCTATTGTAGTTTAGGGTTTGCTCATATCATTCAAAGGTTTGTTTGTCTCTGTGTATGAAGTCAGTCGAAAACATGTCTGCTACAGTAACTGTCTTCGTATCTTGGGTGTGCAAGTGCATTGCTTCTATGCTTATGTTACCATAGCATTCTCCTTTTGCCTTTGCCTTTTGACTACTTGTTGATGCTTCGAGAGAAGTGCTCAAAAATGCTCACATAGCGACTTATGTGTCCAGTAAAATACGCTAATATACCATTAGTCTATTCGAGCTCAGATTCAGTTTCTTGATCTATCTCCAACATATTCACTGCAGTGTAGCAACAAATATCTGAGTCACGGCCAAAATTGACAATTCGTAAGTTTGCCAGAAGCCTGTAAGCACGTATCGAGGCCAATGATGTTACCAAATAGGTTTATTGCGAAGCGAAACGCAATGTGCGGGCACTTTAAAAATAATGCTAACGATGCGAAAAGTACATACTTGGACAGAACTATGTTCGCGACGAAGGAGAAGTGCGTGATCTCGACACCCTTGGGAAGACCCGTGGTGCCGGAGGTGTAGCTGATGCCCGCAATAGTGTTCCGGGGGTCCGCAACGGGCACTTCACGAAATTGCTTTGGGTCCATGTGCACAAAGCCCAGAATTGAAGTGAAGCCGGGAGCCTCACCCAGTACAAAGCGGGCCTGTACATCCAGAATGTAAAAATCGAATATTTAAGTAACTAAACTTGGGGACGTCTCTTAATAAGCGCCTTATTATAAATTATTACCATCATAATATTATTCACGATGGTATTGATCACCAATTTCAGTGACCACACTGATGAAGTGAAAATTCGTTCTTATATTTAAAAATTTGTCAAACGCACTCGGTCACTTAAAGGCAAGTGTGAAAGTGAGCCTTCCGAATCATGTTAAGGAACGTTTTATCGCGCCAAGTGACGGCAACCTTTCACTGACAATGTAATATCGTTGGGCGACCCGTCATCTTCAAGTACTGCCAAAAATCCGACGTGAGAGATCGGCCATGACACAGGTGGCCAAAGCCTAATCAGCAAAAAAAACGTCGCTGATCCTCCTATATAAAGATCAGTATAACACAAGAGCGAAACGTGTCTTCTGAGAGCCAGTGCAGCGCTTACGGAGCATTGTTTCGGCAACAGCAAAGTCACGTTAAAGACGGAAAGCAGCTCGAAAATTGCTGCGCTAACCTCAAGAAGAAAGCACGCACGGAATTAGCATACACAGAACATGTGCGAGCTGACAACTGTCACAGCTAGACACTTAAAGCATGGTGTTCGAATATGAAAAAAACGCGCAAAGAACGAGTGCACAAGTATACACAGGACAAGCGCGAACCACAGTCGCAATTCTTGTCCCACTGCGGTGGTTGAATGGATAAGGTATTCGGATGCTGCCTTGCAGGTCACGCGATGAAATCCAGGCTGCAGCGACTGCACTTTTGGTGGGGGCGGAAATGCTGTTCCCCTTTGTGCTCACCTTTGCGTGAACGTTGAAGAACGCCAGGTGGTCAGCCCTCCACTTCGGCGTCTCTAACAATCACAAGGTGGTGTTGGGACGTTAAACCCCCATATATGAAATCAGTAGCAATTCCTGCTGCGTCGTGTGTCAACAGTGCGCTCTTTTTGTAAACTCAGCCGTGGCAGCGCGCACAGTGACCTTCGTCATCTCTCGAATACAAACAAGTCTGATAAGCACGCGTGATGGAGAGACAAAGCTCCATGAAGGCGGCGCTTTGTGGAGGCGACGACCTACACAGTGAGGCAGACGCGAGCCTGTCGCGCCATCTTGCTTCTGATAGCGAAAAATCACTATAGGTTAGAAGCTCTTAGGACTGCCAAACGGTGTATGATGTATATACATAGCTTGCTGTTAGCTCTCCTGAAAAAGTAAGCTCATTGGCGTAGTGCTTAGCACCGCGCGCTGAAAATCGAGAGTTTGCTGGGTTGCGTAGAGAAAAGAATAAATTGAGGAGAGGCCGTTACGTCACATTTTCCGAAGGCGGAAGTAGGGAAGAATAGAGGACTTTTTCTCGCAACGCTGAGCCTACTACAGAGGCTCGTGCATAGCGCAACGAGCGCCAGTATAAGGCAGGCGATCTGCGCGAGTCGACTTCGGACGCGTTGGATGGTACCAACACCGCCATCTGATACACGAGCTTGAAAAGCTAAAGTTCATGCTTATTGTGAGATAACGTGCTGCGGCACTTGCTGTGAGCTAACGTGCTGCGGATGCCAATCCAGGAGTGCCTGGATGCCAATCACAGTTTCAATACACCCTATGTATTGAATCCAGAATAAAATTGCAGCTTTGCCCTTTTAAATATTCAGCTGAATTCAAGAGAGCAATGGCGCGAATCGGCCACGGGTGATCGCATCAACAGGCTATTACTTGTATGGATACAGTATGTTTGGCGTACGGAACATAGAGCATTTGTTTTGCTATTTAGCCAAATGAAGTACCTCTTAATTAATCTTTGTCATGTCTGTCATGATACGTGCACACATGAATTGTTCACAGCAGCACGCGTGTATGTCGGCTGCGACCATGTCGACAAAAACTTGACAAGGATAAGGTTACCACAAGCGAAACGCAAACAGGAAGCGATATTTCAGAGCCCAAATCAGCTTCTGTGTCAGGCACGTCAAATTCTTGACTCGGAGAGCACCGGTGAGAACATTGCTCCACCTTCAGCTTTTCGATAGTTGTGATAGTCGTTCACGAGAACGGCTTACCACCGCCTGTCGCATTAAGTGCTGTATACACGCTGCCTTCTCGCCTTGGAAGTACATGCTTCCTTCGCCGAAGCACGCAACAGCCCATTGCCGAAGGAAAAGCTGCGAAGCTGGAGCGGCAACCAATTTCGGATAAGTCGTCACGATCGAGCTTTCAAAAACTGCTTTCAACCTCAAGCGATATAAATTAAGCTCGGAACCATGAGGACCATCTCTCACTGTTGGTGTCTGACGCACTGCATCATCTTTAAAGTGCAACAGCTGTTTAGAACTGCCCATTTAGAACACCAGCCGGTTATCAAGAACACGGCCATGCAAGTGGTGATGCAGACGGCACGAGACGCCTGGCATCCCCTCCTAATCCCACAACCACCCTGAAAAAGCACGTCGGCCGCCGCCACAATTTTCGCTCTGCAGTTCGCATTGCAAGGGCCTCTGCTCAGCTTTCCTTCATTCATGGTGGTTCAATTTCATGTGACATATGCTTGCCTTGTGATTTTAAAAACGATAGTCTTTCTTGGAGACCTTCGACGCAAGAATTTGGTCTGTCTGTCTGTGCACTTGTCTGTTTATCCAGCCTTAACGGCACCCTAAAAGACACTAGAGTGACCAGCCAATACCCCAAGCGGCCGACCCCATCCGCAGTGCCCACAGATATTGCTCAAGGTTCAGTAATTATCAATTGTGCAACTGTCAATTAAAAATCAATTATTGCACAAATTTCAGGCATCATAAACACACGTAATTATTTTGTATGTATATATTGCCATGAAGCGTATTGCGGATAGTGTTGCGCATGCCAATACCGCCGGCACGCCGCCTTATCGTGGTCCAGGATAAGGCGGCGTGCCGGTGGTATCGGCAAGCGCAACACTATCCGCAATACGCTTCGCGGCCAAAACCAACGCGCAACTCCAGCCCACGTGCCACTGATTTTGAAGTATCTATCGACGGCCACCCAGTAACTGCCTTGAATGACACAGGGGCTGACTATTCGGTCATCAGCGGGCCATTGTCAGCACAACTGAAGAAGGTTAAGACAGCTTGGGACGGCCCACAGAACCGCACAGCGGGAGGCCACCTTCTCACCCCATCGGGGCGATGTACTGCAAGGTTGACCTTCGTTGGTCACACATACTTGCGACTTTCTTGATGCTCCCACAGTGCTCCCGTGACGTAATTCTCGGTATGGACTTCTTCACTCAACATCACGCGGTTATTGACCTGGCGTCCAGATCCATCAAACTTTCCTCGGATGAAGTCATAAATTCATAGTCGGCACCACATAATCGCGCAGCCCTTCGTGTGCTCGAGAATGACGTGAGCGTCCCACCCCGATCAATGACCCTAATCCCCGCAACCACTGGTGCTGCCGAAAATGCCCATGGCGTCGTCGAAGAACATACAGCTTTTGCTTGGCCGTGATATCGCAATCGCAAGGGGCATTGCGGACTTCGGAATGAACAGGGCCCAGTGCTGTAACAAATTTCAGCCAAGAAAACCGTCACCTGGCCAAAGGCACGACCATTGCCTTTCTCGATGAAATCGCGGAAGTCAGTGACACCGTCGCCTTTTCGAATCCAGCGACCATCACCCCACAGACCCACAACTCGCAGCTGTCAGTCGGACATTAACCCTTCCTTGCCTCAATGCAAGCAACAACTGCTCCAGAACCTTCTTCGACGTTATGACGACTGTTTCGCCACTTCTTCACAGGTCCGACCAACGTCTCTGGCAAAGCATCGAATCATAACACAAGAAGACATCCGCCCTCTCCATAAAAGCCCTTATCGTGTGCCGGCACGTGAACGTCAGGCCATCCGAGAGCAAGTTGAGGAAATGTTACACGACGATGTAATTTAGCCATCGAAAAGCCCATGGGCAGCACCAGTCGCCCTTGTCAAAAAAAGACGAAAATCTTTGGTTTTGCGTCGATTACCGTCGGTTGAATAGTGTAACCAAAAAGGACGTGTACCCTTTACCAAGGATCGACGATACCCTAGATTGTCTTAGTGATGCAAGGTGCTTCTCGGTCCGTTGATCTGAAGACAGGGTATTTGTAAATTCAGGTTGATGAAGGAGACTGAGAAAAGAACGCCTTCATCACGCCGGATGGATTGTATGAGTTCAAAGTGATGCCATTTGGACTTTGTTTCGCTCCAGCAACCTTCCAGCGTCTATTGGACACAGTACTGGCAGGCCTCAAGTGGAAAATATGTCTTGCATACCTGGACAATGTGGTCGTCTTCGCCTCCAACTTTAGCGACCACTTGAAAAGGCTACGGTCGGTACTGGACGCAATTAAGTCATCAGGGCTGACACTGAAGCAGTGAAAATTGCCATTTTGCCTATGAAGAACTACGGTTTCTTGGCCATGTTATAAGCAAAGATGGCATAAGACCAGATCCCGAGAAGACAGCCGCTATCGCACAATTTCCTCAGCCGCAAGATAAGAGAGCAGTTCGCCGATTCTTAGGACTGCGCGCCTATTACCAGCGGTTTGTCAAGAACTTCTCACACATATCTGACCTTTGACGCAGCTCACCAAGTCGGACGCCCCTTTTAAATGAAAAGCTGCGGAACGTGAGGCATTCAAAGAACTTCAACAACGTTTACAGTCGCCGCCGGTGCTGGCTCACTTAGGTGAAAATGCCGATACTGAGATACATACGGACGCCAGCAGCATCGGCTTAGGTGCCATTCTCGTTCAGAAGCACAAGGGCTGCGAGTGCGTCATCGCGTATACAAGCCGCTCACTGTCGAAAGCGAAAATGAACTATTCCACATCTGAGAAGAAGTGTCTTGCGATAGTATGGGCCACCTCAAAATTCTGCCCATACTTGTATGGCAGACCCTTCAAGGTCCGTAACGGACCATCATGCGTTGTGCTGGTTGGCCAGTTTGAAAGACCCTTCTGGCCGCCTCGCT